TGTTGAACTCTTCCTCTAACAATGCCACAGCCAAAAGAAGAAGCTGTTTCATTTCGAGAGGAGAACATAAGCTTTGACATTAACTTTCTGACCTTTGAGGACAAGGAGTGTCCCCTGAATGGCCTTGCTGTTTCAGACATTATTTACAAGTGCTTCAAGTGTATGACTCTCCTAAAGGAGATTCTTTATTTTTTTCAAGAGCCAAGAGCCTGCATGTTACATTCAGGGAACACGGGACTCACATGCCTCTTCAATCAATTCCAGTTCTTCCTCCAGCTGGAAGACAGTGGTCATGCCCTTTTAAACAGCACACTGTGCTGAAAAGCCAAAGATCTTAGTAAACTGTCTGCAGAAATTCCTGCTAATGCTCCCAGTATGGATAGACCCCAGTTTGCTGGGGTGCCAGAGAACTAGAGGTGATGTGGAGCTGCTCTAGAGATGAGCAGCTTTCTCATGTTGCCATATCATGTATATTTTGGGCTTGAGTTTGGGCTGCAGGCTCTGAGATCATAGATTCACGTTAAAACATCACTGCCCTTCTGTTTCCACTCACAGGGATGAGGAGCCACAAGGCCAACACAGTGGGACCACAGTTCTTGGAGGCCTATGTGAGCTAGTGCAGTACAGCAGCAGCAGAGCGCTCAGGGCATCTTATGCCTGTTCCTCAGGAAAGACATGTCTGGAATAACACTAACCAGCTTTCCAATGTTAAGTAAGTGAGTTTCTTCTAAGATGGCTTTGGAAGATGAACCTGGAGATTGAGCTGTAAGGCTGTGTTTGCTGGAATACAAAATACCCTTTTTTTTAAAAAAAAAAAAAAGGGCAGAAGAGGGGAGGGGAATTGTGTTGCCCAGAAGTGCGTGTTTCCACATCTATTCTGAGTTCACCTCCTGGATCTGTATCTCTGCTGTTGGTAATATCTAAGCAACCTGCAGAGGATCTCATCAGTTTCAATATGGCTTCGGTGGCAGGTTGAGTCAAGAAAACAAATAAATTCTTTAAGCCTCGTAACTCTTGGAAAATGTAATTGTTGCCTGGACAATGTTACAGTGACAGAGAGCAGCCACAGCTCCAGACAGACCTGGCACTTGAACTGCTGGTTGTTTTGAGAGGGGAAACAATCATAAACAGTCTGTGCAGACTTGGGGCTGTTCTGTGACATGTGTTTGCTTTTGAGAGTACAGATCAAGCTTTCAATTTCCTGACAAAGAGAAAAATCTGAGTTCTAATGGGTCCACTTAATAACGTTGTCTCTGCATCTGCAATGGTTATGCTTCCTATATGGTTTGAATCAGCACACGGTTTATTTTACTGTGGTAGTATTCCTTAGCCAGGTAAAATAAAAGGATCTTTTCCTGTGAGGAGTGTTAATTATTTTCAGTATGGTAAAAATGTGCAGAATCCATGACAAGACTTGGCATGGTGAGGAAGGAAACGAAGTACTTGTAAAAAACCATAACTGAATACCAACTACAAAACTACGAGGCTGGAAAAGATTAATATATTTATTTTCAATCTGGGATTGCTGTGCAGGTAAACTGGGAATTAATGGTTAGAACATGAGCTGTGAAAGAGAACTGCTGGGCTCTAAGAGTAAGGATAAAGATGCTACCAGCCAAAGTCCTTAAGCATGTATTTGGCTTTACCTGTGTTGTTAAGTTAAGCAAAGTGTTTAATTGTGCATTTCAGTCAGTATGATGGTGTCAGAAATTCGTATTCCAATAAGTATTTGCAGAACTCAAAAACCACAGGAATCTTCCAGCTCTAAACCCAGGTCGAATTCTAACAAACTGTTTGCATAGAACATATACGTAGGGAAAATCTGGTTTTATTCATTTTAGGGAAGACCACCTCATGAGAAATGTAGTCTTGAAGAGGAAAAGCCGAGAGAAACCATGCAGAATACCTGCTTTTGTATTTGCCAAAGAGCCCTTTACAGTGACAACTGGAAGCAGAAGGGATCAAACACCCAAGGTGAGAGCTAATTTAAAACAAAGAGTTTTGTTACACCTCAGTATTGTCAGTTTTCTTAAAAAATGACTTTCTGCCCATATTTGGTTTCTTCATGAAGGATTCATTGCACATTAAAATTCAAGGCTGCTGAGAAATTCTGCTCTGTGGATTGTCTTTGAATATGGATTTTCATATGTGTCACACATGATCCACAAAGTACCACATGTCGGTGCATATTTTCCTGGTATTTTTTCCACTTTTCCACTTTTATTTTTATATATAGTCATATACTAATAGATGCCTTTGCATGAAATTAAGCTGCTTCAATAAAAAAATAGGAGTCAGCAGCATGCTAATAGCCATTTCTCTGTAGATAGCTTCTGCAACATGATAAATACCATTATAGGTTGGGGCAGAAACTGATGATACTGTATATGCACACACATTTTTGTTGTGTCTTATATGTATATACATTTTGAGGTCGTACCCATGGTAGCCCAGTACTGCTTTGCAGATTATTTGGAATTCGGAGTCTCCCTGTTAAGTGCATCTTAAACAGAGTGCAAGAAACAGACCAGAAGTGTGATGAGTGAACAAGGTTTTGTGAACTTGGAAATACCAGTGGAGGCAAAGTTGTGAGTGAGATCTCCTGGGATTAGGGTATGGGAAGTTTAGTTGCTGCACACTGAAGTTGAACAATTTGGACAAGTCACATCTGTAGCAGCAAAAGTGGGTGCAAAGCACGGGGGCTTGAGCTTATGATATGGCAGTTGGTGTTGCTTATGCATTAGCAAAACAACTAACATGCTCCCAGATGCTGTTTAGACAGGGTAAAGGGAATAAAACAGAAATGAAACTATTCCCAGCAGACAATAGACAGGAGACTGCTGTTTTGGAGAGGGGATTTTCACTGCATGGTGTGAAGCCCTCTTTGAGATCACAGGGTAGTAGTGGAAAGGGACCTCATCAGGTCTTTATTCAGGCCCAAGGACGATGCCTGCACGGCCTCACCAGGCAACCTGCTCTACTGTCTTACTCTTGTCATAGAGGAAAAGGTTTTCTTTATATCCCCCTGAGCAGCTGTTTCCCCCAGCTTGATGTCATATGCAAACTTGGTGAGAGTATGCTCTGTTGCCTCCTCAAGGTCACTGATAAAGATATTAAGTAGGATAGGTCCCAGGGTAGATCATTAGTCACACTGTTCTGTTTGTAATGGGCACCCAGGCAGGGTATCACCCCTTAACCACTATCCTCTGAGCCTGTTTCTAGTCTTTTTCCAATCTTCTTGTCTGTCCATCCAGACCATAACATCCTAATTTGGATAACTGTATGCAGAAGGAGCTTGTATTTACCTTACTAACTCCAAAGACAGAATGAGAGCTTTAAAGAAATTGGAAGAATATATTGTAATAAGAATATATTGTAAGGAGGCACTTCAAGAGAGTAAGGTCTAACAAGGCTCTCAAGTAGAAGAAAACTGTATGAGAGATACTGTGCAGGCTGAGAGTGTATACGGAAGTGTAAGGATAGGTGAGTAGCTTGAATGGAACAAACTGGGCTCCAGATTGAGTGTCTGAGACTGGTAAAAGACTGTAATTACAAAATGGTTTGTAATGAACCCATAATTGCAAACTATTCATCAGAAGCTTTTCACAAGCTAAGTGACAGGTCTTCCCAGAAGAACATGAGCACATAGGATTTCTACCCTGCTTAAAGAGAGAAACTCTTCACCTGCCTCTTCTGCATGGCAAGACAGTAGCAGCTGAATTGCATAAGGCATTCTTTTAAGTACAAAAATGGAGTGTTGTCATTGTTGAAAATAGAAGGGCAATATGAGTCCTTATGCAGCTGAGATGGAAATGCTGCATCAGTAACCCCAAACATTTACATTGGGATTTGCATTAACCTGAACGCCAATTTGCAAGGCTGAGACAAAGCTGTTCCTGATTGTCAAGAGGACATCTGAGGAAAGCAGAAATGTCAACAACAGCAGAAGAGGTCAGAGATTTCTGTTGTCTCTCTGAAAATACATGCAATATTAGAGGAGTAAGAGAGGTTGGAAGAACTGCTTAAAAGTTCGAGTGAGTTTCCCTTAGAGGGAAGAGCCTGGGGAGGTAGGTAAATAAACCCCTAGGGTAGAAAATCTCTGCAGGCAGTGTGGGCTGGAAAGGGGCAGAAGAATGTTCAAAGACTTTGTTACAGAATTCCTGTAATTTAAAATCTTTAACAATAATAATAAAAGAACATTTCTTCTCCTCCTGGCTGCCAGGAGATGGAAGGATGCAAAGCAAGGCACTGCTGTTGTGTTTGGCCAGTAGCCAGCCAGACAAGTAAGACCAACGGGCATGTAAACAGTTTGTATGCATCACAATGGGAAGTTTACTTCGAAGCTGAGTTCTGAAACAAAGATTCAAGCGCAGATTCACACTCGCCACTTCCATTTTCTTCCTTTTTTTACGTACAGATGGGTTATTCTTTGTATCAGTGAGAATAGCTGGATTAATAGCCCTGGAATGTAAGATCATGAGTTCTGTTACAAGGAACAGACAGGAGCAATATTAAGCTTTCTCTACACAGTCTGCTACTGTGACTGTGTTTCAGTTTAGAGAAACCACACCTGTGGACACAGGGAAGCTCAGGATGTGTAGCTCATTTTTCCATAGCTCTGTGAGGTTGCCACCACCAGTTGTGATACTGTGTTGAGGTGGGGCACATTTTTTTTTTAAGGTTTGGGCTATGTTCAGTAGCTCATTTTGACTTTGGTCTTCAAACAGCCTTGAGAGAGGAAGGTGCTGCTGGTACCCAGACGTGTTCATTTAGGGCTAGTTACTGCCTTACGCTCTTCAGTGTACTTCTGCCCTCATTCTCTTCCCTTAGCCATGGATCCTCAAGAATCCCATTACCAGACTGGAAATAACTTGCTTAGCCCCATAAAACATTGTTCAAATTCTCTTAGACAAAGTTTTTGATGGGCCAAGTGGCCAAAGACATTTATAGGGACTGCTGGGGAAAAGAGGCTAACAGGTTTGGTTTCTGCTTGAACTCACCAGCATGAATATGGGCATCTCCGGCTATAGCGGCAGCAGTAAAATTGCCATTCACGGTCAAGCACAGATGGAAAATACTGACTCTGGAAACCAGCCACCAGCCCATTGTTTGAGCAGGTTTGATACCTAATAAACAGGAGAAAGGAGAGAACACATAAGGAAAACATGGCATTAGATTCCCTGCTAGTTTCAAGCAGTTCTGACAACAGCATTAAAGATTTTGATTCAGAGTGAAAGCTAAGGGTCTGGCTTTGTATTTGGAAGCACTGTATGCACTTGCTGTGTATTGAGTAACCACTTTGTGTAAGAAAGCAGCAGTAGTTACTAATAATGTCTTAATATTTATGTTGCACTTAAAACTATTTAAACTATTCCATGATTCTATGAAAGTATTTAATCAGTTCAGCATGCTATCAGGCAAGAAGATTGTTCTGGTATTGGCATTCTCAACTGTTTGCTGACTTCAAAATAGTCCATTAATACTTTTATCTTTGTCTGTTGCTAATTGAGCATTTGGGGTTCACTGGAGTAATTTTTTCAACGGCTTCTCTACCAAAAAGAAGCCTTAGAAATTCCTTTATGCAAGAAGTTCAGCGATTTATTTCTTTCTCAATTACCTGTCTCCAGGAGAAGGCACTCTTAATTCGAAGCATTAGAGGCTTGTGATGAGATCATGACTTGATAACAATCACATGAGGAAAACGGAGATTCAGGTGTTATGGCTCACACTAATTTTATGATTGGATTTTCAAAAGAAAAATCTGCTGTTTCATGCTTTCTGTCACTCTGTCACACACATAAATCAGGTAAATCTTCCTTCAAATAGAATAGACATGGTCTCTAAGCATGCAGATATATGCTTCTCTTTCTGCATACCCTCCAAGCATATGGACCCTGATACCCAACGTAATTCAAGTGATAATCAGTTTGAATAGCTTGCCTCTTGGAGACTAAGGACCATGAAAACAGGCAGCTCATTAACTCAGCTATTGAGTGGTCATTCTTTCAAGCACCCTCCTAGCCTTATTGTTTCCCTATTGGAGAAAATCACAGGAATACAGTTTCTTCCATTTCCTTTCCTTTTCTTTCTTTTCCCTTCATCAAGGAAAACTGGCAGCCTAGAGCTGTAGCAAACCTTCCTTGCAATACCATAAAATCAAATACATTGATATATCCAAAAGACACTTTCAGAAGTAACTTTATGATTAACAAATGCGAAAAATATCTCCTGGTTTCATTCAGTGACCTCATAGTTTATTTTAATGACCCTGGAGTTTCCAGAAGGGAAACACATCTGGAGCAGAGATTGGTGTTTGGAAAGTCATTCACTTGTGCACGCTGGTGTTCTTGAAAAGCGTGAGGCTCAAGAGTTTATATGCAAAAGCTGAAAAACCGATCAATTTTGATGAGTGCAGGGATTAATTCCACTGCCTAACTTTCGGCTTCCACCTTTGAACAAGGGGTCTCTTTCTGTATGTCCCTTCTTCCTCTGTTTTCTGTTATTTATATAGGAGTATTTACGTTTGTTTGTGTCCCTGCGTCTCCCACATAGCTGGGGCCACACATACTTGCTGTGCTTTGTGAGACTTTTTCAAGGACCTTCAGAGTTAAGCAATGATGGGGACTCTGAGTTGCTATGGTATCACACCAAGTAAGGCAGTTTGGCTCTCACTCAGAGGATTTCAGCAGGACTTTGATAGGAAGCTGCTCTGGTTTTTGGCACATAGGCCATGGGAACATATGGCTAAGATTCTGTGTAAACATATTGGATAGCTGCAGATGATGGGTGTTATCCTGATGGAAGAAAGGTTGATTCACAGAAATACAGGGAATGGTTGTACCTGTTGCAAGATGAGCATTAATCTGTGTAAAGTAGAACCAAACTTGTATCTCTTCATCTTCTTCTGCCTCTCCCCCTTCCCAGTTACATGAATTTCCACTGCTCCGGTCCTTGTGCCCCTGGGAGGTTTTCTAGCTCTTTTGCAAAGGTGCAGTAATGGGAGCATTTTGTTCCTCTTTTTCCTTTGCACTTCCTCTCTGCAAAGGAAAGAGGCTTTTCGAGGCTTGGTGTTACCCTGCAATGTCCCATCCTCACCAATTAGTGTCTGATATTTCTTGTCTTTGCAGGAGGTTCTTCCTTCTCCTTTTCTCTCCCCACCTGCTCACATTAAGTCTGAGAAGTCCTGCCCTCTTTGCCCTTTTTTTTTGATAGCTTTTATTTTCTTGACACCTCTACTAATGCAGTCCAATTTTGATGGGAAGATTTATTTTGAGAGAAATGTCGCTGATGGACCCCTCTTTTTCTAGTGGATTGAAAAAAATCTAGCTACTGTAACTCTCCTATGTTCACATGTGTACATATTTGGGCACTATACCTTAGGAAGGTTTGGTTATTTTTCATCCTGATTCTATCTTCTTGTGAAAAGTTTGATTTAAAAAAATTAGTATTTGGAGTTTCCATAAAAATTAGTTTCTTGAGTGGAGAGTATAACTGGACATAGGTCATGTCTTATAATTAAATTGCCATTTTATTTTAAAAATACTCAAAGTAAAATTTGAAATACACTTTTAAGCTCACGTTCAATTCTCCCTCACTATTTCTGTCTCATACACACCAAGTCCTGCAATCTGTTATTCAAGCTCAGTATTGGGTTCAGTGAAAGAAAAACAGTAGTGACTAAAGTAGTTTTCTTTAGCTTTGAGATAACATACATTTTTTTTCCCTTCCCAGATGTTTCTAATTTTCAAGTCAAATTCAGGTATTCCTCCAAAAATGAAGAGATGCTCTCAGAAATTTGAGTGTTTATTTGTGAGTTCATATACCTGTTTTCTTCTCTTCCCCTTTCCTGATCAGCCTCTTTCCTACAAGCAGAAAGTAATTCTTCAAGGGAAACAAACAAGCCTTCCCACACACCTTTTTAGACAGATGCTCTATGCATTAATCTGAAAACAACACTTAATGTGTGAGGATTTCTTCCTTCTCTGTTGAATTCATTACTGCTGTCACAGCAAATCCTTCAAACCAGTGTGGTGAATAAAAACTAGTGGTTTGTGACTTTTGATTTATGGCCAAGTAAGAAAAATGTCTTTTATACTAGACCCACACTGTAGCACTTTCGTTACAGAGGAGAATTCAGTATTCAGGGTTAATGTCACGGAGTTCTCCTCACTCATGAAATGCTGACATGGCTAAGAGAGGAAGAGACCTCTTAGAAGGTGAGTGCAGAAGAGAATGAGAAACTCTCTGGGACTGCGTGAGATTAAACTTGGCAATGGATAGGTTGTTTTGTTTCCCTAAGTGGCTCAAGTTGTGATGCATTTGGTACTGGGTAGATTTGGTACTGGGAGGAGAGGAGGTGAGTGAGCTGGCTGGGAAAGTGGGAAGATCGGTGGAAGTGAGGGTCAGGTGTTGTTGAATGGAAAGTTGCTCTTCTGTTCCCTTGTTTACGTCTGGTGGAAATGACTGCAGTGTTTCATAGAAAGTGAATAAAACTATACAGCCTTATTTTGGGAGGAGTTCTGTGCAGTAACAGGGATATGGCAGCTGAGAGTTTCCTGGCCTGCTGCAATTGCTGTGAAAAGACTCTCCTTTTCCAAATCTTCTTCTGAACTCGTTAATGAGTGTTGTACAGCTGAGTTCTGTCATGGCAAGCAACCAAAGTGTGCATCCATATTATCAGTTTAGCTCAGGTCAGGATTGCTTTCCTTGTTCACCAGTGAGCTTTTATCTGAGAGACCAAACTAGAGCTGCTTTGAAACAAACCCACTCAAAATGTATATCTGGATTTTAGGTCCATGCACTACCTGTGTTTCAGTCTGCTTCACCCTACAGATGCACTTAAATTGAGCCACATTGTTTGCAGATGTTGATCTAGTGTCAGTGGCCAGCTGTGTACCTCACTGGCTCAACATTTGCCAGCCAGACTAAGGATAAATATTACTTGCAACAGTATAATTGTTTTAAGCAATGGCATCAGTTGTGGTGGCATTTCGTAATTACGCCCACATCTAATTTTTGCTCTGGGCTAGACAAAGCCCCAGAGTGTTGTGCCCTATCTGATGGTGGTGCTCAGTTGCCTCAGAGGCCCCCTGTCCTTCAAATATGTCAGTAATTAGCCCGAGCAGCATGCTGGCCTGAGGATGACAACCCAAAGAGGAAGCCTGTTCACTACAAATCCACTCAGGAAGCCCAAGTCAAGATGCAGTAATGGTTGCTGTTAGAGCCTGCATTGAGTCCCTGCTGCACGCACTGGGTAGCACTGCCTGAGGCTCTCCGGAAACATGCAGGGTCTGACATACAAATCAGTCAGTAGTCACTGGGTCATGCTGCTTTAAGGGTGATTCGTTCCTTATAACAGGGTAACCCGAGAGTCATTCTGTGTACTTAAAAAAAAATGCCCCTGTTTTGCTGTAGAACAGATGGCTCCTGTAAAACTTGCAACATTAATTACTTTAAAGCTCTCTCTTTAGAGCCTGTCACAAAAAATTAACCTATCTATATATTAGGGAGATATATCAGACAGGGCAAACTGGCCCAACAGAAATAATGCTGTGTGCTTTCATCTGCAGCCCTCCCTGAGGGGCATACAGAGAGAGGTGGCCTAACCTCGTGCAGCTGATATGGCCACAGTTAAAGTGTGGGAGGCATTTTTAATGAAACATCAGATAGACTGTTCTCCCGGAGTGTTGCTTTGCCCAAATCTCTTACTTTCAATATCCAGAACTTCATTTCCTTTTGGTACAGCATGGAGGGGATGCCCTGTCCTGCTCTCCTGAGTTATTTTTGTGGAGTGTCGTCCCTCTGTCTAATTTGGTCAGTCACATGGTGAAAGCTAATTTAACAGTCAGTTGCAGATGAGTGGGGAGACATAAATGGCTGAGGGCAGGCTCAGTACACTTGAAATGCTGGCACTCAGACAAAGGGAATGACTTTTCCATGTTTGATTAGGCCATGCCAGTCTCCGGTGGCCACTTCTATGAGGAGTCTTCACTATCTGTTGTAGCGAGACAAGTTGTCATGACTTCCACATGCCAAAGGCAACTTCACTATCATCTTCAGCTATCTTTTTCTTTCAATTAGGGGTCAGTGATGACTTACTTTCTTCTCTCTGCCCAAAAAGAAGGCA